ATGCAACATTAGAAGTATAATAAAATAATTTATTGTTTATAATGTGACAAATAAACTAGAAACAATAAACGTTGACAGGAATCATTTGAATAAGGATTTCCCCACCGCAAACACTTCCAATAGCGTGAACTCAAAATGAACTAAAATGTCAGGGGGTTAAATTGCCTAAAATTATTTCCGGTTTTGACAAATACCGGCCGCAGTCAGTCATACACGAACAATAATAATTTACGACTTCACACAGTAAAATTTGAAAGTTCATAGTTGTTTGAATAAACTTCTCAGATCTCCATTTGCACGTTCATTGCCAACTTCGTCAAAGTCAAAACCCTCAACGTCAAAGTCAGCGTCAGCGTCTCCATCCAACAGAATCCCTCCAGCTTCGTCCTGAAGTTCATCGATGTCTTCTCACACAATTTGGACTTGGTACTTTTATTCCACTGATTTCGCTGTCTGTCAGCTTGGCATGTCTAATCACAATTAAGAGACAAGAAAAATTTGGTCGCGTGCAAACGACTCTGCTCTATCATCTTTGACCTTTAAACACCTGATTGGCTAAGAATGACATCACAACTAGTGTTCCATCAGAGGTCAAGTCATCAGCGCAACATTGCAAAATTGCTTTCTCCAGTTATGGATTTGCAAGCTGCTACCAAATATTTTATAAAGCCAAAATAATGAGATTTCAACCACTCTCCCAAGTATGGGTTGCTACAAAATTGCCACATTGGTTTCATTTTCGTTGTCGCTCAAGCCGAACGAGTTTGACACTTGCTTCGCGGTCCATGATACTGTAAGTTTTGCTTGATTCGTTTCTAAGAAAACACAAACCAAACGACGTATTTAAAAAAAAGAACTACAGTTTCTGCTTTAATATACATTTTGTAGACTTGCTGACTGTTATGATTCAGATATAAAATCTTGAAACATAAATGTAAATTACATAAAGAGCTGTGCACGAACACGAAATTACCTATTTTGCTGTCATGGCTATTTCACGTTCATCCCGCGTTTTATGCAATTGACATTTATTTTTCAAGACTTTTTATCAGAATCATAACAAACTGCAAGGAAGTTGACTGTTAATACAACAAACTATGAACGAAGAAAAAATTTAGATTTTAGTTACTGCCATTTAATGCCCCAGGGTGAATTTACATCAGAATCCGGTAAATATCAACATCTGTTTTTACTTTCATTACACTGATTAGGAGAATGACTTTATGACCGGTGAGACATTTATGTCAAATTTAACGACAAGTGTGGAATCATTGAGAAGTGAACTTGTGAACTTGAAAGCAAAAATGGATAAAAGAAATTCCACCGATCAAAACCAGGTAAGAACTGTTCTTTGACAATATAAATTAATGTGCATTCCGAGTGCCAAGACTTCTGCAATACGCCTAGAATGTAGGTGCATTCGGAGGGCTAAGTCCTATACAATATGCCTAG